TCTATTTTTTTTATTTCAGCATATTATGGGGGTACAAATGTTAAGGTTACATATATTGCCCATGCCCCCGTCCCCAAATTTTAAAATTTTTTTTAATTTTTAATTTTTGTACTTTTTAAACATTTTTGTTAAAAACTAAGACACAAACATACACATCAGCCTATGCCTACACTGGGTCAGGATCATCAAGATGTCTCCAGGTGATAGGAATTTTTCAGCTCTTTATAATCTTACAGAACCAATGTTGTATATGTGGTTCATCATTGACCAAAACATCATCATGCAGCACATGACTGTATTGGACTATTTTCTGGTTGCAATATATTAGCCCTGAAATGTAAAGTACCAAATAATTTCTGATTCTCGGATCTTCATCTCCTATATTTATAATGCTATCCCAAAGAGCTAAAGTTTGCCTAAATTCCATACTTCCAGAAAAAAATGAAGGTTACTACTGGAAATTATATTTTACTTGTTGTGGTACTTATTTTCTAGTGTATCAACATCTTTGACATAGAAAAAGATGTTCCCAACCCATGTTATATAGCATTATGACATGAATGAGTTAATAATGAATTCTCCTTTACCCCATCCCCCAAATTAACTTACCCTATCATAGAGCTCAATGATTAAATGATAAGCGGCTTCATCACTTCCAAACTGAAAATCTACATTCTATCCACACCAAGCTGTTTTGCACTGACTAATCTCCGATCTTCAAATGTTTTCGGCACTAGCAAGAAATAGAAGAAAAAGGCATTCATACAGTAAAACATAACTACTTCGTATTGGCTTACAAGTAAGCTTCTTTCATTATCATCAGGAATAATATTTTTAAAAGGTAGTAAATAACAGTATAGCCATAAAAACTTACAGATATAATCAGAAAAAACATTTTGGACAACTGACTGCTAACTCTGAAGCAGCATTTTACATTCAATTTTTAAGTAGACAATGATAGACCTATAGCAAAATTTGCTTTGTTGCTTTATATGCCCATTAAATCACTTGTCTTGCCCGGTGACCTCACTTAAAGTCATAACCTTTATTTTTCTAAAAGTTTCTTTCTCTGCAATCTTTTAAGTATACAAATTGCCTTTTGTGGCTTTACTTATGTTCAAGATTAGTGGTTTCACTAATCTTCCACTTCAATATATACCAACTATGGACCATGAACTCATGGATCCTGTAATTAATCCCCAAGTCAGTCACATCCAAATTACCTCTATCCTACAAACTTTTTCTGTTTTTTAAGATGGAGTCTCACTATGTTGCCCAGGCTGGACTTTAATTCCTGGACTCATGTGATTCTCCTGTCTTGGCCTCCCAAGTAGCTAGGACTACAGGTACACCACCACCTTGCCCAGTTTATTCCCCACAAATGTATTAATAATCCCAAATAGAATTAGGTACTGTCTCTAAGCTTCTGATTAATCTATTTCATATTCAAATGTAATAACTCCCATTCTTTATCAAACCCCATTCCTCCTATCCCTGATCATAAAGCTTGTTCTTATTAACAATTAAACAAAATTAGTTTTTCTTTTGTCTAATCAAAAAAAAAAACAAAAACAAATTAGCATGCCAAACTCAAATACAATTACTTAGTCAATCCATTTTTTTTCATCTACACACATGCAACACTATTATTTGTACATGCCACATCCTTTAGTACAAATATTTAAGTATGGAAAGCCAATTCTGTAGCCCTAAAAATCTTAAACTGTTTCTAATTTTGAAATTTGAAAAAGCCCTAGTCAAGACCAGTAAGAATGCTTTCTCAAGACTCAAATACAAGATAAATTTATAGAGAGGTTAATCTAAAATCACTTTAGAAAAACAAAAACTTAATATAAATTTCATTCTTAAAATTAACGCCAACCTTTTCACATAACTAGAATAGTTCTCTAGACCTTATAGTTCAAAATCTACTAAATTCCTATTTTATGTAGTTATATATTTAAGCGGATACAAGATTTTTTAACTTCTTAGAACAATCTCTCCCTCCTTAATTCAGTAGTTTTAAGAGTAGCCTATTTTGATTTACAAAGTGACCTACATGTAGGACTATCTTTAAACCCCTAGGTGAAAATCACAGGCAGTTTTCCAAGTCCCCAATAAAACTTATTCAAGAAATAAATTAAATAAAGATAAAGTATCCTTGAAAGGACAGAGGTCCGCACATAGAATGGTAAAAAGGATTATTTATCATGGTGAAAGCAGATGGACATATAGTATATATGTAAAGTTTGTTTTATTTCCCTGTCAGCAACTTGGTGAAAATAATCTGCTCAGTGCCACAAAGCTATAATAACATCCCCAAACGTTGAATACTCGACAATCACTGTGATTTACCAATACTGGACATGCCCCTGCCCATGCTATACAACAGTAACAGCTCTTTATTATAAAGTGCTTAATACTGTTTGCTCAATGGAGGGAATCTTTCTACACCATTTAGATTGACATTGTTCACCTAACTCAGAGAATTCTAACATTCTTATTCAATGATTGGCCACCTATTGGAATAGCCTGATTTGGAGATGTTTACACAATCCTATGTCATATCTCTCACTGGTCTGTTACTTCATCTGTAAAACTGAAATGATAATATATGTTCTTCATACTCAACTGAAGTTAAACAACTTAAGTGAAACTGAAGTTAAACAACTTAAGTGAAACATACATATTCATCTGCTTTATGTAAAGTGTCATTATTATAAGGATACGCCCCAAGAGAATTTCTACTCCCAAACAGAATTTTCATGGTATTGTCTTAAGCTTCTGATTAATCTATTTCATATTCAAATGTATTAACTCTCATTCTTTTTTTTTTTTTTGAGACAGAGTCTCACTTGTTGCCCAGGCTAGATTGAGTGCCATGGCGTCAGCCTAGCTCACAGCAACCTCCAACTTAAAACTCAAAATTTAATAATCTGATAATTGTGTGACAGTCTCTGTGATATGGGAAACACTTACCTAACTTGTAATCCAAAAACAGATTCTTAAGTTGCTGGGGGCAAGCTTCTCTCTGTAAAGCCTCTAATGAAATAACACAATGCCATAACAAATAAATTTCTGAAGGAAAGTGAGGAAGAGAGGAAGAAGAAATGAACATATATGGAACTCTACTATGTGTCCAGCATGTGTTAGATGCTTTACACATCACTTCAATTAATCCTCACCAATAACTCCATGACGGAGATATTATTCACATTTTACATTTAAATGAACTAAGTTCCAAGATGTTAAATAGCTTTTCCAAGTTATGAAGTTATTTACCGACAAAACCATTAAATTTAGGTTATTAACTCTGAGTTTTCTTCTGTACCACATGAACTTGCATCTATATGTTATGCCAATAAATAATGGGTAACGTCCCACAAATGTAAAATCTCAGTTTTAATAAAACAAAGCAAAGAGAGAAGTGAAGAGTGAACAGATATGACTTAGTAATACATTAACATCATTAAGTATTCCAACAAAATACAGATTGGGTTAGAGAAACAATTCACCATAGTGGGTTCTGGAAGATAAGGCTAGGAAAATAAAGGGGAGGACATAGAAAGCCAATAATACCAGGATATAGAATACAGATTCAGAAATTAGGGAACCATAAAAGGTGAGATAGCTAATGAAACAATGCTTTAGAAAATTAATGTGGTTTAATTTAGAATTGTTTGGGGGAGAAGTGTTCTATAGTTAAGAGACTATAGGTTGAAATGATTAAAGCATGAACTAGAATGGTGACTGGGAACAGAAGATTTGAGAATAGGGTGTGAAAGGTAACAGGGAAATGTCAATTTAATAATATCTACTTTATTCATCCTATTATCTATCAACTACTCCCTCTACCTTCATTTATCTGTATTTTATTCATAACAGTAAAAAGAAAACCAGTTTAAACTCAATTGAGTAAGCAACCCTTAAAATTTAGCTTCAAGTATAACTTAAATTTACCTTCATGGCAAACTAGATGGCATCTATTCTTAGGCCACTAAATTCTGTAGTATGAATTCGATGGCAGATTCAAGTAAAGTGACTTAAATCTGTTGTAAGAAAAAGTCAAATATTTTTTTCATGTTGCCAAAGCTAACTCTAAACAACTTAAAACGGAATTAAAAATCAGTAATCTCATACTTAATTACCAAAGTAAAACAAGCCTTAAAATGTTCTACTTTTGAAGACGAATAAGGTATGTCTTATTATCCACATCATAAACATTGTTACTCTCATTCCTAACAAGCTGCAAGACAAGAAACAGTAATAAATCATACTATTGTGAAAACATAAACTGCAACACATTTAATTAAAGCTAGGAAAGAATCTAGGATCTAAGAATCTGGGGTCACGCAGAGGCAGAGCCTGGAGGCCAACAGGTTTTCAGCTCAAAACTTAAATGTACATTTAAAAAACAAAGCAGTCCATCAGCCTAGGAACGAACACCTACAATGCCTTGCCTCTTTGAATGCCCGATTTGGAAAGAGAATAAAATATAATCCAATCATGTATACTAAGAGAAAAGGTTAAACGAAGCCCGAAGTCTGGCTCACACGCCTTAATAACACAAACAAGACTAGGAATCCCTCTCAGTCCAAATCTGTTAAAATCCAGCTAAAATAGCAATGCTCTCTCTCTCTCTTTGGGGGGAGGGACACTGAAGAAACCAGGCCTTCGGTCTGGAAACCTCGCAGCAAATGACCACTCTGGCGTCTCTCTGTTCTACCAAACGCTTCTACGGATATGGGTGACCCAAGCCATAACAAGAGCGTCGCGCTAGCGGGCCAAGGAACTAGCAAGACAAGGCAGAGAGCGAGGGCGAGGGTGGGACACGCGGTAGTACTGGGGGCCCCACGGTATTCCTGAGGACCATGGGAAAGACGCACGCGCTCGGCCCACCCAGGCCTAGCCAGGTCCACAGAAGAAAGAGCACTTGGAAAATAAAGGAAACATCAGACAGTCTTGTTTTCACCCGTGGGCCCAGCCTCTGCACTCCTGCACTCCATGCACTAGCTGGTCACTCAGGGACCGTACTAGGCATTCAGCTCTGCGAACGCGCGCAGTCGATGTGCAAACTCTGATGTGATTAGTCGAACTCCTGACCTCGAGCAATCCGTCCGCCTCGGCCTCCCAGAGTGCTAGGATTACAGGCGTGAGCCGCTGCACCTGGCCTATAGTTAACACTTATTAAACTTTTGAGGAGGGTGAAAAATTTGTGACCAGAAGGAACTGTGGATTTGAACAAAGGGGTGTATGAAGACAATTCATTAAGTTGTCTAAAGCGGTTAGGGGATAACGTTTAGAGATATTTGGAGGGGTCTCAACAGGTTGCTAAAAGAAAAGTGTTCCATGTATAAGTCCAAAGCTAAGTTATTGTGCTAGCTTTATCATGTAGTTTTTAGTTTATTCAGAACTGTTAATTATAAATTCCATATATATATAGTTCAAAAATCAATGTCCTATGTTTAGAAGAGACTTATAAGTTTTTTGATCTAGGTTTTATTTGAGCCAGGGTCTTGCTCTGTCACCCAGGCTGGGTGGAGTGCAGTGGAGGGATCTTAGCTCACTGCAGCCTTGAACTAGTTTGAGCTAGGCTGACACCACAGCATTCTAGCCAGGGCAACAGAGTGAGACTCTGTCTCAAAAAAAAAAAAAAAAAAAAAAAAAGATGTCTCCAGGTGATAGGAATTTTTCAGCTCTATTATAATCTTACAGAACCAATGTTGTATATGTGGTTCATCATTGACCAAAACATCATCATGCAGCACATGACTGTATTGGACTATTTTCTGGTTGCAATATATTAGCCCTGAAATGTAAAGTACCAAATAATTTCTTTGATTCTCGGATCTTCATCTCCTATATTTATAATGCTATCCCAAAGAGCTAAAGTTTGCCTAAATTCATACTTCCAGAAAAAAATGAAGGTTACTACTGGAAAATTATATTTTACTTGTGTGGTACTTATTTTCCTAGTGTATCAACATCTTTGACATAGAAAAAGATGTTCCCAACCCATGTTATATAGCATTATGACATGAATGATTAATAATGAATTCTCCTTTACCCCATCCCCCAAAATTAACTTACCCTATCATAGAGCTCAATGATTAAATGATAAGCGGCTTCATCACTTCCAAACTGAAAATCTACAATTCTATCCACACCAAGCTGTTTTGCACTGACTAATCTCCGACTCTTCAAATGTTTTCGGCACTAGCAAGAAATAGAAGAAAAAGGCATTCATACAGTAAAACATAACTACTTCGTATTGGTTTACAAGTAAGCTTCTTTCATTATCATCAGGAATAATATTTTTAAAAGGTAGTAAATAACAGTATAGCCATAAAAACTTACAGATATAATCAGAAGAAAAACATTTTAGACAACTGACTGCTAACTCTGAAGCAGCATTTTACATTCAATTTTTAAGTAGACAATGATAGACCTATAGCAAAATTTGCTTTGTTGCTTTATATGCCCATTAAATCACTTGTTCTTGCCCGGTGACCTCACTTAAAGTCATAACCTTTATTTTTCTAAAAGTTTCTTTCTCTGCCAATCTTTTAAGTATACAAATTGCCTTTTGTGGCTTTACTTATGTTCAAGATTAGTGGTTTTCACTAATCTTCCACTTCAATATATACCAACTATGGACCATGAACTCATGGTATCCTGTAAATTAATCCCCCAAGTCAGTCACATCCAAATTACCCTCTATTCCTACAAACTTTTTCTGTTTTTTAAAGATGGAGTCTCACTATGTTGCCCAGGCTGGACTTTAATTCCTGGACTCATGTGATTCTCCTGTCTTGGCCTCCCAAGTAGCTAGGACTACAGGTACACACCACCTTGCCCAGTTTATTCCCACAAAATGTATTAATATATCCCAAATAGAATTTTCATGGTACTGTCTCTAAGCTTCTGATTAATCTATTTCATATTCAAATGTAATAACTCCCATTCTTTATCAAACCCCATTCCTCCTATCCCTGATCATAAAGCTCTTGTTCTTATTAACAATTAAAACAAAATTAGTTTTCTTCTGTTTGATCTAATCAAAAAAAAAAAACAAAAAAACAAAATTAGCATGCCAAACTCAAATACAAATTACTTAGTCAATACCTATTTTTTTTTTATTTTTTTTTTTTCATCTACACACATTTGCTGAAGCACCTATTATTTTAGATTACATGCACCATCCTTTAGTACAAATATTTAAGTATGGAAAGCCAATTCTGTAGCCCCTAAAAAATCTTATAACTGTTTCTAATTTTGAAATTTGAAAAAGCCTCTAGTCAAGACCAGTAAGAATGCTTTCTTCAAGACTCAAATACAAGATAAATTTTATAGAGAGGTTAATCTAAAATCACTTTAGAAAAACCAAAAACTTAAGAAATATAAAATTTCATTCTTAAAATTAACGCCAACCTTTTCACATAACTAGAATAGTTCTCTAGACCTTATAGTTCAAATCTACTAAAATTCCTATTTTATGTAGTTATATATTTAAGCGGATACAAGATTTTTCAAACTTCTTAGAACAATCTCTCCCTCCTTAATTCAGTAGTTTTAAGAGTAGCCTATTTTGATTTACAAAGTGACCTACATGTAGGACTATCTTTAAACCCCTAGGTGAAAATCACAGGCAGTTCTTCCAAAGTCCCCCAATAACAACTTTATTCAAGAAAAATAAAGTTAAAATAAAGATAAAGGGTATCCTTGAAAGGACAGAGGTCCGCACCATAGAATGGTAAAAAAGGGATTATTTATCATGGTGAGAACAGATGGACATATAGTATATATGTAAAGTTTGTTTTATTTCCCTGTCAGCAACTTGGTGAAAATAATCTGCTCAGTGCCACAAAGCTATAATTAACATCCCCAAACGTGAATACTCCGAACAATCACTGTGATTTACCACATACTGGACATGCCCCTGCCCATGCTATACAACAGTAACAGCTCTTTATTTATAAAGTGCTTAATACTGTTTGCTCCAATGGAGGGAATCTTTCTACACATTTAGATTGACATGTTCACCTAACTCAGAGAATTCTAACATTTTATTTTCAATGATTGGCCACCTATTGGAATAGCCTGATTTGGAGATGTTTACACAATCCTAGTGTCATATCTCTCACTGGTCTGTTACTTCATCTGTAAAACTGAAATGATAATATATGTTCTTCATACTCAACTGAAGTTAAACAACTTAAGTGAAACTGAAGTTAAACAACTTAAGTGAAACATATACTATTCATCTGCTTTATGTAAAGTGTCATTATTATTAAGGATATGCCCCAAGAGAATTTTCTATCCCAAACAGAATTTTCATGGTATTGTCTCTAAGCTTCTGATTAATCTATTTCATATTCAAATGTATTAACTCTCATTCTTTTTTTTTTTTGTTTTTTTTAAGACAGAGTCTCACTTTGTTGCCCAGGCTAGATTGAGTGCCATGGCGTCAGCCTAGCTCACAGCAACCTCCAACTTAAAAACCTCAAAAAATTTAATAATCTGATAATTGTGTGACAGTCCTTGTGATATGGGAAACACTTACCTAACTTGTAATCCAAAACAGATTCTAAGTTGCTGGGGGCAAAGCTCTTCTCTGTAAAGCCTCTAATGAAATAACACAATGCCATAACAAATAAATTTCTGAAGGAAAGTGAGGAAGAGAGGAAGAAGGAAATGAACATATATGGAACTCTACTATGTGTCAGGCATTGTGTTAGATGCTTTACACATCACTTCAATTAATCCTCACCAATAACTCCATGACGGAGATATTATTCACATTTTACATTTAAATGAACTAAGTTCCAAGATGTTAAATAGCTTTTCCAAGTTATGAAGTTATTTACCGACAAAACCATTAAATTTAGGTTTATCTAACTCTGAAGTTTTTCTTCTGTACCACATGAACTTTCAATCTATATGTTATGCCAATAAAATAATGGGTAACGTCCACAAATGTAAAATCTCAGTTTTAATAAAACAAAAGCAAAGAGAGAAGTGAAGAGTGAACAGATATGACTTAGTAATACATTAACATCATTAAGTATTCCAACAAAATACAGATTGGGTAGAGGAAAACAATTCACAATAGTGGGTTCTGGAAGATAAGGCTAGGAAAATAAAGGGGAGGACATAGAAAGCCAATAATACCAGGATATAGAATACAGATTCAGAAATTAGGGAACCATAAAAGGTGAGATAGCTAATGAAAACAATGCTTTAGAAAAATTAATGTTGGTTTAATTTAGAATTGTTTTGGTGGGGAGAAGTGTTCTATAGTTAAGAGACTATAAGGTTGAAAATGATTAAAGCATGAACTAGAATGGTGACTGGGAACAGAAAGATTTGGAGAATAGGGTGTGAAAGGTAACAGGGAAAAGTCAATTAATAAATATCTACTTTATTCATCCTATTATCTATCAACTACTCCCTCTACCTTCATTTATCTGTATTTTATTCATAACAGTAAAAAGAAAACCAGTTTAAAAACTCAATTGTTAGTAAGCAATCCCTTAAAATTTAGCTTCAAGTATAACTTAAAATTTACCTTCATGGCAAAACTAGATGGCATCATATTCTTAGGCCACTCAAATTCTGTAGTATGAATTCGTATGCCAGATTCAAGTAAAAGGGTAGCTTTAAAATCTGGTCTGTAGAAGAAAAAAGTCAAAATTATTTTTAGTGCATTTGCCAAAGCTAACTCTGAAACAGACTTAAAACGCAAATTTAAAAATCAGTAATCTCATACTTAATTACCAAAAGTAAAACAAGCCTTTAAAATGTTCTTACTTTTGAAGACGAATAAGGTATGTCTTATTATCCACATCATAAACATTGTTTACTCTCATTCCTAACAAGCTGCAAAGACAAAGGAAACAAGTAATAAATCATACTATTGTTGAAAACATAAAACTGCACACAATTTAATTAAAGCTAGGAAAGAGGGGATCTTAGGATCTAAGAATCTGGGGTCAACCAGGGAGCAGAGCCTGGAGGCCAACAGGTTTTCAGCTCAAAACTTAAATGTACCATTTAAAAACAAAAGCAGTCCATCAGCCCTAGGAACGAACACCTACAATGCCTTGCCTCTTTGAAATGCCCCAATTTGGGGGGAAAGGAGAATAAAATATAATCCAATCAATGTATTACTAAGAGGGGAAAAGGTTAAACGAAGCCCCCGAAGTCTGCTCACACGCCTTAATAACACAAACAAGACTAGAATCCCGGTCTCAGTCCAAATCTGTTAAATCCAGCTAAAATAGCAATGCTCTCTCTCTCTCTTTGGGGGGAGGGACACTGAAGAAACCAGGCCTTCGGTCTGGAAACCTCCGCAGCAAATGACCACTCTGGCGTCTCTTGTTCTACCAAACGCTTCTACCGGATATGGGTGACCCAAGCCAATAAGGCAAGAGCGTCGCGCTAGCGGGCCAAGGAAACTAGCAAGACAAGGCAGAGAGCCGAGAGCCGAGAGGGCGAGGGGTGGGACACGCGGTAGGTACCTGGGGGCCCCACGGTATCCTGAGGACCATGGGAAAGACGCCACGCGCTCGCCCACCCAAGGCCTAGCCAGGTCCACAGAAGAAAAGCACTTGGAAAATAAAGGGAAACATCAGACTAGTCTTGTTTTTCACCCGTGGGGCCCCAGCCTCTGCCTCCTGCACTCCATGCACTAGCCTGGTCACTCAGGGGACCGTACCTAGCATTCAGCTCTGCGAGCACGGCGCGCAGGTCAATGGTGCTAAAGCGGGTCTTCATGGTGAGGTTTGAGGGTCGCTACTGCAGTTTCCTCCACTGACTGCTTGACTCGACACCGCTACTCTTCCGCGCAGGCGCACTTGGCGGTGATCTACGGCAGCGCAGAAGACCCAATATTCCTTGAAGCGAAGGTAACTTGCGTCCCTTCCCTAAAGGATTCAGTTGTCAAATGGCCGTCGACTCGCTTTTTATTGTACCTAAACAATTCGAAGCCGATCCAAACTATTCTCTTGAAACTGAACTCCTTCCTTAAACCTTGTGGATTATTCTGGACACCTCGCACCCAAGTGTCTTGGGACTTGAACCCGCCTCCACAGTGACCCCTGCTGGTCGTAACAATTTTCGAGGCGCTTACAAGGAGGATTTCCCCAGGTGGGCTGTAGGACGCAGAGTAGAAAAGCAACGCCACCTGCCCAGTAGGCTACTCGGACGTGTAAAATTTTGACATGTAACAAAGCGGAGCTGTTTCATTCCTCCTGAGATTACCCTCAGCTATCAAGACGAACCCTCAAACAGGAGTTCCTGTTTTGTGGGTCCTGCTGTCCGATGGAGCATTCTGCCGCGTTTTAGGGTGCTCATCCGACCGCGGTCTTGGAGTCCCCGAGACTCAGTGTAGTACCTGATATACAATTGGTGCTTCGGGAACGCTGGACAACCTGAATATTCAAGTGTTTCACTAGATAATGGTGAAGTAAGGCAAAAATGAAAATAAGCCAAGCTTCCCCACCGGGGGGATTCGCGGTGTAGTGAGGACTACAGTCGTGCTAGAATGTAAATGCAGCATTTTGTGCTGTTAAAGTAGATGCATGAGGAGAAAACATACTTTAAGGTGAGAACTCAAAAAGAGACGGGGTCTCGCTATGTTGCCCAGGCTGGAGTGCAGTGGCTATTCACAGGCGCGATCCCACTACTGATCAGCACGGGAGTTTTGACCTGCTCCGTTTCCGACCTGGGCCGGTTCACCCCTCCTTAGGCAACCTGGTGGCTCCCCGCTCCCGGGAGGTCACCATATTGACGCCGAACTTAGTGCGGACACCCGATCGACATAGCGCACTACAGCCCAGAACTCCTGGACTCAAGGGATCCTCCCGTCTCAGCCTCCCGAGAAGCTGGGACTACAGGCGCGCGCCACCGCGTCCGGCGCTCGCAAGCGCTGCAGGGAGACCCTAGAGTCTGCAGGCTATAGATGGTGGCAATCGGACTTCCGACCAGCAGAGCGCGACTCTGAGCAGAAAGGGCACCGTTGCCAATTCAGAAAACTGGGAACTGCAGGTGCAAAAATGGCTACAGCACATACAGCATACAGAATAGCCCAAAATATGAAATAAACCACTTGGAAGGTTTAGGAAAGACTGGGAGCCAAGTTGACTCTAAAATGTTAAAGTGAGAGGTTTAATTGTACACAAACCATATTAAGGTTGGCTTTGAAGGTATTCCCAGAAGCCCTAAATATTTTGCATAAATGCAACCCATGTAAAGACTACACATTGAAAGGGACAATCCTCAAGTGTTTCTTTAAAAAACAAAAACCGAAGTACTTTATAGCAAAATTCTTACCCTAGGGCCCCAGATGGATAAGATAAGAGCAGGATAACAATTTCAGTTTTACGTGGGAGAATCAACCTGTAGACTAATTCATGCTTGCTTCTACCTTGTCTGTCAAGGGAAATGGGCATCACAAGGTATGTGCAAGAACATGCATAAGGGGAGAAGTAGGTCAAGGTAAGTGTAAAGGTTGCAAGGGAACTTCGCGTACTAAATTCCATAATTTCTGGGTTTGGGGTTTTTAAATAAATGTAGAGGGTACAAGTGCAGTTTTTCTGCATGGATATATTGCATAATGGTGAAAGTTGGGCTTTTAGTGTACCCATCACCCTAATAGTGTATATTGTACACTAATTTTTCATCCCTCGCCCCCCTTGTACACCCCCATCTTTTGAAGTCTCAAATATCTATTCTTCTACACTGTATGTCCATGTGTACCCGTTGTCTAGCTTCCACTTATGACTGAGAACATGAGTATTTGGCTTTCTGTTTCTGAATTATTTCACTTAGGATAATGGCCTCTAATGCCATCCATGTGCTGCAAAAGACATGATTTCATTTTTTTTTTATTATTGGGCAGTCTTCCATGGTGTATATATACCACATTTTCCTTTTCCAATCATCTGATGGTGGACAGTTAGGTTGACTCCATGGCTTAGCTATTGTAAATAGTGCCACAATAAGCGTACAAGTGCAGATGTCTATTTTATGTAATGATTTGCATTCATCTGGATAGGTACCCAGTAGTAGGATTGCTGGATTGGATGATAGTTCTGTTTTTAGTTCTTTGAGAAGTCTCCAGGCAGGCACGGTGGCTCACGCCTGTAATCCTAGCACTCTGGGAGGCTGAGGCCAAAGGATCGCTTGAGGTCAAGAGTTTTGAGACCAGCCTGAGCAAGAGCAAGACCGTCTCTACTAAAATTAGAAAAAATTAGCCAGGCATAGTGGTGCATGCCTGTAGTCCCAGCTACTCCAGAGGCTGAGGAGTGAGGTTGGAGGTTGCTGTGAGCTAGGCTGATGCCACAGTACTCTAGCCTGGGCAACAGAGTGAGACACTATCTCTAAATAAATAAAGTCTTTGTCTTGTAAGTTCACTGCCTGGGCTTCCTAATTGATAGTTCCTATAATTTCCTTTTTTTCTGCTATATTTCTTGTTTCTTTGCATACTTACAATTTTTGTTGAAAATTGGTCATTGTTAGCATTATAATGTAGTATCTCTGGAAATCTGATTTCCTCACATTCCCAGTGTTTGTTTTTATTGCTTATTGTTGCTGTTTGTTTGTGAACTTGTGAACCAATGTCGCTGTCTTTACTCTTTGTTGTTTGTGGTCACTGAACCTTCCATTTCATCAGAAAAACACAGTCCACTGAAAATTTCACAGGAATTTTCTAAAATGTAGAACAAATCAACAAAGAAACAAAAAAACTCTCACCTCACTTGGCAGGTTGGTCTGTGTCAGGGCATTTCTTCAACATTTAGCCTGGACATTTACAACTCTACCTTAGCCTTCAATTTCCTTCTTGCTTAGGGTCTGAAGAGCAGCCAGAAATAAGAGCTTAGGGTCTTCTCATATCTTTTCTGAGCATCTCTTCTGCCCTGGGCAGGTGTGTTGTATAGGCTTCTAGATTCCTTGAAATATACCAGAGCCTTACACAGCCCTTATTCCCCTAGGTATTTCAGGCTTTGGGTCTATTTCTTACCCTGAGTGTTATTTTTTGCACCAGGTGGCAGCAGCTAACACATTTGGATCTAAATGTTTCCAACAAATGCTGTCCATAAAGCATCCCCAGCCCTGGCGGAAAAAAAGGGAGGAGAGGGAAGCCCTTGAGCTGATCCTTATGGAATCACCAGGCAAATCAAAATACACAACCACAATTCTTGGAGAATAAAGTCTGTACTGTTCCCTCTGCTACCAGCACCTTGCTCAAGAAACCTGAGCTCTGTTTTCAAGGCCACTGCCAAACTGGGAAGTAGAAAATGGTAACAGGGTAAATTAAAAGGCTACCTAGGTTTCCTGCCAAAATTCAGCAGTTTTTTCTTCATTAACCATTGCTGTTTGTTGTAATTTTTTTTTTTTTTTTTTTTTTTTTTTTTTTTTTTTTTTGAGACAGAGTCTCGCTTTGTTGCCCAGGCTAGAGTGAGTGCCGTGGCGTCATCCTAGCTCACAGCAACCTCAAACTCCGGGGCTCAAGTGATCCTACTACCTCAGCCTCCCGAATAACTGGGACTACAGGCATGCGCCACCATGCCCGGCTAATTTTTATATATATATCAGTTGGCCAATTAATTTCTTTCTATTTATAGTAGAGACGGGGTCTCGCTCTTGCTCAGGCTGGTTTTGAACTCCTGACCTTGAGCAATCCGCCCGCCTTGGCCTCCCAAGAGCTAGGATTACAGGCGTGAGCCACAGCGCCCGGCCTGTTTGTTGTAATTTTTTAATGAGATTTCAGAATTCAAAACACAGTTGATTCTGACAGTTTTTCTACTTATTTCTTGCTATTGTAGAGGTACAGAGACTAGGAATTGCCTATTCTGCCATATTCTAGTCTGCATATTTTAACAAGGCTTTTTTATTCTTCCATATATTTATTCAATAGCCATAAAGTAAGCCCTAGGCACGGTTTTATATATGACATATTTTAGTCTCATAAGCTCAGCATTAGGCATAATTGTGTTTGGCTATCACTAATCAATAGAAGTTTGGAATCTAGAATGAGAGATGAGATTCTTTTAGTCCTATGCTTAGATAGCAAACCAGAGGTAGAATACTTTATCCTATACTGGGGAATCATATTTTCCAAAAAAGTTATACAAATTGGACAAATAGTGAAATGAGATGAGATTGAAACCAAGTAACACAGGAAATAATTAAGATTCTTATGGATGAAAAATGATTTTAAATTTGTTATTTGCAAACCCAAGGGTTAAAGTGCTAATTTTAGAGTAACAGATTAAGTTTTAATGTAAAGAAGAACTTTCTAGCAGCCAACACTGTTCAAATAGTTATTTCAGGATGAATATGTAGATATTAAAACTATAACAGGCCGGGCGCAGTGGCTCATGCTTGTAATCCTAGCACTCTGGGAGGCCAAGGCAGGCGGATAGCTGAGGTCAGGAGTTCGAAACCAGCCTGAGCAAGAATGAGACCCCCGTCTCTACTATAAATAGAAAGAAATTAATTGGCCAACTAATATATAGAGAAAAAATTAGCCTGGCATGGTGGTGCATGCCTGTAGTCCCAGTTACTCGGGAGGCTGAGGCAGTAGGATCACTTGAGCCCAGGAGTTTGAGGTTGCTGTGAGCTAGGCTGATGCCACGCGGTACTCACTCTAGCCTGGGCAACAAAGCGAGACTCTGTCTCAAAAAAAAAAAAAAAAAACCTATAACAAACAACAAGATAATGTCACAAAGTCAGAAGAATGGGTTATATCTAAGAGAGAGGAGTATTTGGGCATGAGATTCTGGTGCACAGATCAAATTCCTAAATGCTAGTTATATAGTTTTTTTTTTTTTTGCTTTATAAATTCTTTAAGCTTACATTACGTATATGTCTTATGCACACTTTCATATATATGACCTATCTCATAAAGGTAAAAAACAAAACAAACAGAGAAAAAACAAAGTTAAAGGATAGGTACATGAGCTGGGCACAGTGGCATGCACCTGTAATCCCAGCTACTCAGGAGGCTGAAGTAGGAAGATTGTTCGAGCCCAAGACTTTGAGACCAGCCTAGCCAACACAGCAAAACCTGATTTCAATGCAGAGAGGGGGGAAAAATGATAGGTGTGGTAGAAATCAAAACTGGCCACACCTGCTTTAACACCCACGGAGTAGGTTCTGATCTCTCCCCACCTTTGAATGTAGGCTGGCCTATGACTGCTTTGGCCAATAAAACACAGCAGAGAGAACTGATTCTATGCTATTTGGGGCTCTATCCTTTCAGAAGACTGGTAGCTTCCAACTCGGTCTCTTAAAGCCTGAGTCACTATGTAAGAAGTCTAATAACTAACTTGCTGTAGAGAGCCCTTGAGACTACATGGAGACAGAGAGGGGCATGCCTGAGCCCAGCTTTATATCCAACCTTGTCAAGTTACAGGCATGTGAAGTAAGTCATATTGGACCTTCCCTGTTAGACCAGCCACCAACTAAGTACCACAGTCAGCATCACCTGGAGCAGGGCAGATTTTGGGGTTCAGAAATCTGGGCAAAGCTCTGCTGAATTATTTCTGAACCCCCAAATCATGAAATATAATAAAGTGGCAGTTATTTCAAACTACTAAATTTTGGAGTAGTTTGTTA